AGGAGATAAAAAAAAAGTAGATTTATATCAGAACCGTACGAGAATCATCTTTTCTTGGCCTTTGCTTGTTAGTAATTCCCGTTCTACCAATTACTGGAGGACTGAGCTGTTTTCTGGCAGAACGAAGTATAAAGGATTGCTTAGTTATAAAAATACAAAGTAGAGTTTGATCCAGGGGGTTATCCACTCGCTATTAGGGGTAGGAAGAATTTTTTTTCGTCTCTTTATAGCATCAGTTTTAACTGTAATCGCAATTCTGAAATAGTTCAGTTGTTTACTGAAACACATTGGGGGATGGGGGGGCGGGGATTTATCAAAACTGGAGCAAACACAATCTGGAGCAGTTGCTCAGGGCAACCAATCAGCATCTCTCTTCAGTTTGCTCAGGTAAGATATGAAAATGAGAGGGAGAAGCTGATTGGCTGTAGTGCAAATCTGGCCCACATTTAGTCTGCTCCAATTTTGATAAACTCCCCCCCCAGTGAATGTGATATCGTGCTTTGTTTGTGTACTGGAGCTGCTTAAAACTGGCCAGCTTGGTATGGAGGTGGCACAGAACTAACAATACAATTGGAAACTGGCGCCAACTAGACACGTGTGATTCGTTCCCTTCTGAATCAAAATTCGGACGGATTTTCCGAAATCCGGATATTCGCACACATCCGAATTTTTGAATCCCCAATGCATCCGAATATGTCCAAATCCAAATTTCCATTTACGAATTTCGGATCCCGTCCGAACTTCGTTCAAAAACAAAACTGAATCGGACATGTGACTTTTCTGGCCATAAGATGTGTTTTTTGGTTTCATGCATCCGAATGGGTCTGAACACGAATTTTTGTTATGGCAACATGGGAGCCATATATTATTATATAGTATTTATATAGTTTGCGCAGCGCTTTACAATATAAGGAAGACATTACAATTCAAGACAAGATGGTAAGGAGGGCCCTGCCCCTGAGGGCTTACAATCTGAAAGAAGAGGGGGAAATGATACATGAGGAGGTAGCTGTGTGGGGATGAATTATTTGAGAATGTGATGGTTCAGTGGTTAGGTCGAGGTGGGATAGGCTTCCTTGAAGAGATGAGTCTTTAGGGAACGCCTAAAAACAGCCAAGGTGGGAGATAGATGGATAGGTTGGGGTAAAGAGTTCCAGAGGATGGGAGAGACTCTAGAGAAGCCCTGGAGGTGAGTATGGGAGGAGTGGACAAGGGAGCTGGAAAGCAGGAGGTCAATGGATGAGAGGAGGGGACGATACAATACTAAATCTGAGGCTCCCAGACCCAAATGGCATTCGGGATCCGAATTTCCGAATGCAATTAGGGAGTTCCCGAATACCAATCGGGTCTGGGAGCCTCTGCTTTAGTAATATATGTATATGGCTCCCAGACCCGAATGGCATTCGGGATCCGAATTTCGGAACTGCATTTGGGTGGTCCTGAATGTCCCAGTACAAAAGTTTACCCCATAGTTCTCTTTT